ACACCGTCTTGAAAAAGTTTAAATTGTTTGTTTGAAGTTTAACTTTAAAAAAAGAATTTTTTTAAGGAGAATTTTAGTCTTTGTTTGATATGATGAACTTGCAAATGAACAACAGCACTATAAAGGCAATAAAACACTAATAAAAATCATTTGATTCGAATTGCTTATTTGGATTTCGCATCGCTTTCTTAACTTTTTGGTTAATCATTTAATCGTTTGTCATTATAAGTACATTGGCATTATAATTGTACTTACATTTTAATTGTATACGTACTTTGATTTAGATTTACTGCCGTCATATTTCGTATGGAATTGTATTTACACGCTTAAAATTTATTCAATATACTCATTTAGTATTTAGTATTCAATATACATTTAGTTTTTAGATTTATATTTAGTATATTCGGTATTTAGATTTACATTTCTTATCATTTGAGTTTAATTCTAAAGACCACTTTAAGTATAATTATAATTAAGAATACTCGTAATATTCTATTAGTAATACTCGTGTAGCCCAATTGAGTTAGAGACCTGCCTGATTCGCGTAAACTTTCCATGAGCATGAGCATGAAGGGAATCATAACATCCTATTTATGATTACTCTTCATTTGTTTTCTGTACATTGTAAATTGATATTAGGTACTCTACAGTAACAGAAAATACTGTATTGGGGATGTCAACGGTGATAAGGAGTGATAATAATATAAATAATAATAACAATAATAATAATAATCATGATAACAATATCAATAATAATCACAATAATAATAATAATAATAATAAAAATAATATATATCATAATGTCGACATGATGGACAACTCCAGTGTTGAGAATAATGATAACATATAGAATAGCATCCATAATAATAATAAAAATAATGATAATAATAATAATAATAATAATAATNCATAATAATAATAATAAATAATATATATCATCCTGTCAAGATGACTGATGACTCCAGTGTCGCCATAGTGAATGGTGTCCGGAATAATATTGAAAAAATAGTAAAATTTATAACAGTGTCGAGAACAATTATAACAATAGTAATAACAATGATAATAATAAAAACAATGATAATAATAATAATAAAAATAGTAAAAATAATATATATGATAGTGTCGATCGAGATGGCTGATGAGTCAAGTATCGAGAAGGGGAGTGTGGACGAAGAGAGTGAGGAGAACACATCGGAAGCAACTGAAGAATCAACAATCGAAGATCTACCCAAATCCGCAATTCTCAGTGACAAATCCAGAGTATCGCTAGCCACCAGCCATGTCAGTTTTGATGCGGCCATCCTCCCTGACAAGATCGATGACAGCCAACGGAAATCCGCCGATTCCAAACGATCCGTCAGTTTGTTTATTATTTATTATTATTATATTTACTATATTTATTATTATATTTACTATATTTATTATTATATTTACTATATTTATTATTATATTTACTATATTTATTATTATATTTACTATATTTATTATTATATTTANCAATTACCCCGTGGATTGAGCTGGCCTACAACGTCACTATTCCTTGTGGCTGATCTCGTTGGCGGAGGCATTGTGGCCATGCCTGTGGCGTTTATTAATACTGGTGTGATAAATATTTATTATTTATTATATTTATTATTATTATATTTATTATTATATTTATTATTTATTATTATTATATTTATTATTATAATAATTATTATTATATTTATTCAAATACTAATGTTCCAAAGCGTGTCTGCACATCAAGAATTTTGCGACATCGGCTATGTTCCAAATCAAAATTTCTCATTATTATTTATTATTATTGTTATGTAGAATAAATAATAAAAATAATAATGAATAATAAAAATATTTAAAAAAAATAAAAAAAAATAAAAAATTAATTTCAGGTTTGGCAACAGGCATC